AAATAATTTATCTAGTTCCATAATGACAATACATTGTCATTATCATGGTCATAAGGAACATACCTGTCATTTGAAGAAAGAAAAACGTTTTAAAATTAAACAAGTATGGATTCCTAAGGGAACAAGGGGCATTGAAACTAACGTCCAAGGATCCAAAGCAATTTGGATACCAAAATTGAAATAAATGTCTCTTGTAGGTGTGTGGGAGCAATGGTGATGAAAGTAATGATATTCAGATGCTCTAGCCACACATGAAAAAGGAATGAGTAACCTCTAAGCTTAATGCTTTTAATTTTGGTTATTTGGTTGCTCATTTGATTTTAAGCATGCATGAGTTTTGGTTTTAAATGATTATGCATCATTGTTTTAATCTCATGTATGTTGAAAACATGATTATGATGAACATTTTAAAGTTATATTAATTTTTGAGAATTTTTAGTTCATCATAATGAATTTTGGTCAAAATTGGTTTTAAATGCTAATGATATCTCTCTAATAATTGATATCAAATTTCAAAATACTTTGATTTTATAAATTTTAATTTTTGGCCTAAATTTGAATGTTTATGTATGTGGTCTAAATGAAAATGATATATCTCTAGCAATTGATATCAAATTTTAAAAAAATGCATAACATTTTTGGAAAATTTTATGCAAATGCACTTAATTTAAACAATTGGTATTAATATCAAATTTCAACAATTGGTATTGCATAAAGTATTTTAGACTTGGATATATTGAATTTCATGTGCCTCTAACATGTTTGTTATTCTTTGTAGAAATTCAATATTTTGTTTAAGTGTCATGAACTTAAAAGCTTAATTTTGTTTGGAATAATGTTATTAAGGGGGAGCTTTAATTTTTCAAATGATTTTTAAATGTCAAATTTACTACTTACTCTCCAAAGTTATTTTGAACTTCAAAGATTGAATTATTTTTGATATAAAAAAAGGGGGAGAAGTTTGGTTTAAAAATTCAATTTCTTAATGAAAAAGGGGGAGCTTAACATTTTCATATATTTTCCAACAATTGATATCTTTTTCATTAAACATTTTATTAAGGGGGAGTTTTGCCAAAACAATTTTTCAAATGTTTTGTTATATCAAAAAGGGGGAGATTGTTGAACTATATTTTGATATAACAATTTAAGGCAAAAATGTTTTTGGACTTGAATTGAATTTGCAAAATGTTTTTGGACTTAATTGAATTTATTCAAAGTTTTAAAAGGTTTCAAAAATAATTCAAAGTCCATTAAATTCGGATTTGAGCAAAAATGTTAAAGGGTGTCAAAGTGCATCCATGCATCCATGCATCCCTGCAGTGCATCCATGCATCTGCACTAATGCATCGATGCATCATGCAATGCATCCATGAATCCAAACATCGAATGCAATTAGTGCATCGATGCATCTTGCTATGCATTTGACGCATCCTTGCTATGCATCAATGCATCCTGCGATGCATCTATGCATCAAGGCTGCAACGGCTAGTAACGACTAGTTTATTTGAATTTAATGAAGGGGTATCGATGCACCTTGATCATCATCGATGCATCATGTTATGGGCAGCCTTTTTTAGTAGAAAAATCATCCCCAAATGACTCCAAAACATCCCCAACGGATATATACAACATCAAACACATTCCAAGCTATAAATACAAGCTAAGGACACTTGAAGAAGTAAGAGAACAACTATCCAAGCAATCAAACACAAGAGAAGAGTTTTTCAATCTTATTTCATCTTTCTCTTGTAAATATTTTGTTCTTGTGAGCTTAATCTTGTAAACACCTACCTTAGAGAGGTTTTCTTGTTTACTTATTTTATCCTTTTGTAAAGGGGTTTTGGTTCTAGCTTAGCCCGTGTAAAAGCTAGAGAAAGGTTCTAGTTTAGCCCGAAAAAACTAGGGAGTTTGTAAGGTTACTCTTTATCCTCAAAAGAAAAAACAAATTAGTGAATTTGTTGGAAAATCCTTGGTGAGGAGCTAAGGTAGTGGATGTAGACTTTGGTTTAGAAAGTCGAACCACTCTAAATCGCTGCAAATCTCTATCTTTCAATCTCCTTACTCCCTAAACACAAAAACCATTCCAACCCTCTTTGCAAGTAATTTCGGTTGTCGATTTGAGCGTCCGAAAATCCCAACATATATATATACTAATAATATAATTAACCAAATATATTAACACAGGATTAAAATATAAATAATTAAAAATAATAAGGACTAAATACATAATTTCACATATATATATATATATGTATATATATATATATAGTGATTAAAATGAAAATATATAAAACATGAAAACGAATTTAAAATACGCAAAACCTGATTTCGGGACCTAATTGCGAGGTTTACAAAATTGGAGTGGTCACAGTTGTAGTTTAACAATGCAAAAATTACAAAGATACCCTCCCAAAACGACGCCGTATGAGGGAGGGTATAAATAGCCCAAAACCGGTAATAAGGCCTTCACTCTCCCATTTCTCTCTTTTATTCTCTCTCTCTCTAGACGAGAGAATTCTCTCGCTTCTCTCTAAACCCCTAACAGAAGGGAGAGCTACGATCGGCCGACCACCTTGTTCCACCGATCTCTGCCACTATTGGTGGCCGGAAAATGTCAAACCTACCCAAAATAAAAATTTGAACCCCCTCATCCCAAATTTGAGCTTTATTTCTCTTAAAAACCTCATGATAATCTTATATCTAAGTTTTTACCTTCGGTCGTTTCGAATCTCGGTAATCACGTGGAAGCTCCGATGGCTAGGTAAGTTTCTCGACCTCTTCTCTTTTCCTTTTAACTTATTTACTGTTGTGGTTCACTGTCTGTGGCTGTGTTTGGATGCTTGTTGCTTCTCTTGTTCTTGTTGTTCTTGATGTCTCTCTTTTTTTGCAGGTTTGGTGGTCTTTTATAGGCCACCACAATACCTTATTTGGACTGATCACAAGGGTGCCCTCCGGTGAGTCACCAAGGCTATGGTGGTGACTCACCTAGAGTGATGCGTTGTACGACTGGTATTGATCTTCTGGAGTCTTCTGTGGGAGGCGGTGGCAACGTGGCAACCTTCGATTGGAGCAGCTGGAGGTGGCAGAGTGATAACCCTAGGATTGCAATGAAACCCTAGGGTTTATGGAATCATCTGGAGCAATCTGGTGCGTCAATATTCATCTGGATCGGATGGTTGTGGTGTGTTGGCGGCTGGAGATAATGAGCAGAAAACCCTAGTTGTGTTTCTCGCGGGCCTGTAGGATACGAGTCTGGCTCAGGTTGCTGGGCCTGGATCAGATCTGTTGGGTTTGAGTCTGGATCGGGCTCAGGTTTGGCTTGGGTTAAACTTGTAATCGGGTTCCCGAGTTATCAATTGGGCCTCCAAACTTGTAAATGGGCCTTCGGGCTATATAAATAATAATATTTATAATATATTATTATATTATATATATATAATCATCGTCACTCGGACGAAAACTAGTGTCGAGAAGTATTAAATATTTTTATTACTATTATATGTGTTTGACTCTGCCATATTATATATGTATATTTACTTAATATTTATCAACCTTGAATGCTTGCATAATGTTCACCTTTATGTATTTATCATATTTGTTTTAATTTGATTTATGAAATGTTCTTTTGTCAATATTATGTGTATGTCTTATTTGATATTAAAGTTTTTAGTGGTTTATTCGAACATTTTCAAGAACATTCATTTGTAGAATGAGTGTGGAAAGTACTACTTGATCGAAGTAGTGTAATCCGATATGACATTCAAACGAAATGTGAACTTGAAATCAACCGAGTTTATTTTACTAATTAATTCGTTTTTATTCAAATAACACAATGCATTTTTTTAATAATAATTTATTTTATGCAATTATCGATAGTCGATTTATAATCAATTTGTACTTTTTGAAAACTTTGGAGAGGAGTCATTTCTCGAAATATATGAGATATCATTTCTATTGGAGGATGTACAAATCTTGTGATTTCTTCTCAAATTAAAGAATGTTCTCTAATAATTAATTCAAAGCAAATTATATCATTTTCAATAAAAGGATCGTAATTTAACCATGGACACGAATTCACAATTTCCGCCATTTGCGACAATATGTAAGCGACTAAGTACCAATTTTGGGCACTGTGGGGGTGTTAATCCTTCCCCACGCGTAATCGACTCCCGAACCCGTTAAATCGGATTTTTGGTAAACGCAAACCAATTTTTGTCTTAAAAACGATTTTTTCTTAAAATTGTTTTAAAAAGACATTTTTAGGTATTCGACTTACCTAGCTCAAAGGTCGATAGCGACTACTATTCAATTTAATTCAAATTAATTCAAAATCGCCAATTTTTCAAAATAAATTCATAATTGTTTTTTTTAAACTTAATTGTTTTAAAAAAAATGGTTGACAGTAGTCATAGTTTAAGACCAATTTACAGTTATATATATATATATATATATATAAACAGTTTAATATAAATATTTGACTTGATTTGAAGTTGCACGTCATTTTGAATAAAAATAGTTTATTTATGATTTTGTTTTATGGTAATTTGTATTTATAGAAAATATTCTTTTCACTTCTTAAGTTAGTTATTATCTATTATCTAAATAATAGTAATTAATCAGATAAATTAAAATTTTAGATAATAAATAATTTTATTTTAAAGAAATTTATATTAAGTATTTTTTTAATTAATCAATGATATTTGATCTATTGACCGACTAATGCAGACTGTGTACTGCAGAGACGAAGGCGACCCTCCCCATCCAGTTTGTTCTATTCACAAACATGAGTAGCATAAAGATAATCAGATAAATTAAAATTTTTAGATAATAAATAATTTTTTATATTATCTTTTTTAGAAAGTTACAAATTGACAAATTAAATATAAAAATGAGTTTTTTAAAATGTTTAAAACATTAAAGTAGTATCAAAGTTGATAAAAGAATACAGATTGTGGTCCAAAGATAGCTTCCGGTATTCATTTATTGGAGGGACCAATCTCTTTGATTGAAACTTTCACTCTATATTTACTTGAAAGAAAAACTAAAATATTAACAGAGTTTTCGCATACAAATTCTCAGCTGCCAACAAACATCAACTAACTTCTTTATGGACTTTACAGTTTTTATCAAGAAATTTCTAACAAATTATCTGAAAAAAGGTCTCACACAAACCTAAGCAAGCACGAACGATCGATCTCCTTCCCGGATTTGATAGGCTACTGTACATGGCTTTAGGCACTATCTTCGATTTCATCCGATAAGCTCCGGCAGCGTCTCCTGTTGAAGCCAGCCTGAAAATCGAGGGATTGCCATTTTCAGTTAATATGAAGGGAACATTAATGACAGATAGAGGTGCTTGAGCCACATTCAGAAATCCAAGTTACTAGTGACCTGCTAACATTAATTTCAGAAGGTGAGTATATGGTCCCTTTCTATTTACCATTCCAACTGCTTCGATATCGACACTTTCAAATTGAAAATCTTCCCTTACATTATCTGAGTGCCTCGTGATTTAGTCGATTTTCGAGCTATTTTGACACAGAAGTTCAAATACTTGCAGAAGAAGTTTTCTATGGAATGGAAAAGGACGCTACAATTAATGATATTAGCAATAAGCCTCAAATGACACTTTCATGCTAAAAGAAGGCACCTTAGCTAGCAGCTATCGTTTGTTACCATCAGAAAATTATGATTTAGTTTCGATTTTCGCCTAAACTACGTGAGCAAGGTGGACATTCACCCTGGTTTGTCCATTTCTCATGCGGACATGACATTCTGAATTTTATAAAGATTTTGCAGCAACGCAGAAAAACCTTTCAAGTAACCGGAAATGGAAATTTGCTGAAATATTAACAACATAAAGCCTTTGTGAGCAGAGAGGATAGCTAAACAAGCACACAAACGATGACAGTAAAATTGAAAAGTGACTCACCTCGGAAGATGAAGACAAAGGAGGTAAAGAAGCCTGTCGAATGGGATCCTTTAGCTGCTGAAATTCTCGAAGCTGGTTCACCAGCTCCTCCATGAGTTTCAAATGGGTATCTACCATTTTCCTCTGGTCTGATGAGAAAATCAACTTCACTTTTTCTCCTTGCACGATTCGCAACCTCTCTCTAAGGCCTTCGATTTCAACACCAATCGCCAACATCTCATTACTGACCCCAGAAAAAGTCTTCCCCAAGTCGTATAGCGAGGTTTTGTGATCTAAAGCAGAACCACATGGCAATTTACTTTCTTTTGTGTTCTTCTCCGGAATGTCTACTTTATCATCAACAACATGAACATCATAGACAGCCGGTTCCACATCAGACGTGGGATCCTGAAGATTGAAGTCTAGTGACTCGCCAAATTCCGCAGTTGTCTTGAGCTCTTCTCCAGTTGAAGAAGTTTTCTCAATGCCTTGGACCGTTTTGGTTGCAATTTCTTGGCATGCTATGTCATCATGATCCACTGCTCCCACTTCCTTCTTTGCAGACAATCCACTGTTCCCTGCCCGTTTCACCATTGGCAGCAGATCCTCATCTATACCAAGTGGAGTCAAAGGCTGCTGTCCGTCATTACTCAAAGTATAACTAAAATCACATTCCTCCGGCTTGTCTCCTAGATTATTCATCTGCCTGTAAGCTTCGAGGTCTCTCCCCAAAAGGTGATTCTCCTTCTCCCTCCTAACAAGGATCTCTTTCAGAATGTTCATTTCTTCGTCATCATAAGCAAATTTTCCTTCCATCATCCTTTGATATTGCCTTGCTTCCATTTCTATAGAAGCCTTATCCTCTTGCAGACGCAAAATCATCGCCATCGCTTCATCGGCAGCAGAAGCGGCAGCGGCCCTTTCTTTCTCCAATTCCAGGCATATAGCAGCATGTTTAGTTTTCTCTTCTTCAAGAGCTTGTTCTAGCGTTCTGATCCAATTCGCTTCATCTCTTATAAACCTCGATTTTTCATTAGTGTTGTTACAGCTGGATTTTTTCGGAAAAGTTGAACCTTTTTCCTCTCCACTGCTCAATTCAAAACCATGCCGGGTTGCCTCACCGACATCGGTGCAAGTTTGAGTTTTTTTATCATCTGAAATAGCATGTTCATATAGGTCAACACACATGTCATGCTAAAAAACTATATCAGATCTCAAGAAGCAATGAAAGCTTCAACTCAAAGAGTGATTCTCTTAAGCAAAATTCACATGAAAAGTTGCCACTTGAAGCTAAAGTACCAATTCGGAACACATACACAGGCATACATACATATATGCATATATATTACAGTGTAAGTATTTCACAAGAGATGTATTTAACTTACCAGGGAAACTATCTTCAATTCCGCTAACTGGACCGAAATTATCCTTAATCTCACTTCGTGTTTCACCACCAATAATATTAGAAGAACATGAGACACCTGCAACAGCTGATGATGGGAAATTTCCAGACAATAATACCGGGGTCGATTTTCCATTACCAAAAGCAGTCCTCCGGCGCTTCCGAATTCCTGATTTCTGCTTCTGATTCATGGTTCTCATTCCGATGGCATCACATCCACCATCTTTATCCACCATAGTTAGCAATTTCAGACCTGAAAGAGAAGTAGAACATGCTTCACCTTCCGATCCACTGACCTCGAAGCCAAATTTTACATCATTCGGCTTCAACTCTCGATCGTGGATCAAAACCGAGTCGCAGGGGAACCTATTAAAAGCCATATTTTGAACAGAGTATATCTTTCTCCTAGGCCATTGAATAAGCAGGTTATGCCAGCAGAGGTTGCCATTTTGGTAACCAAAAAACCCAGAGCAAGGGCATGGCAAGAGAATTCCAAAAACATCACAAAATTTCCAGGCAAAATAACCCAAAGTTGATCCACATATAAGGAAGTAAGCTAGAGTAAGGTCAATAAAAGATCTTACAAGACCGGTTAAGGTCCATGAAGAAATTGCACAGGAAACCATTACAACATGAAGGGCAGAAAATCCCCAGAGAAATTCAGCTCCACTAGTAAATAAATTACCCCTGATAAAAGAAGAAGAAGCAACAACCCACCATGAGAAATACAACAACAAAAAGGATTTTTCAAGTTCAACTTCCAAAATAGTATAAATTAAATTCCAAAAACTGAAGAACTTAGAAAGGAAAAATATAAAGCAAATCAAAAGGGAAAAAAAGGTCGTTATTTCCAGTGAGGGTAAACCTGGATTTTTGCAGAGAATTGAGTTCTTGAGATACAGAGATGAAGTAGAAACTTGTATGCATAGTTTTAAGATCGAACCGGTCATATTATTAGTTCATTAGTTTAACCAGTTGAATCGGTTTAATCGGTCGGAAGAATTGAACGATGTCATATTATTTAAAAAATTAAATAAAAATATCAAAAATATTTAATAAAAAATAATTTTTTATATCATAAGCCATATTCAAAGTAAGTCATAACATATATAAATTAAAAACCATAAAATCAAGTGAAACAAAATGATTCAAATTAACTACAACATAATATTTAAGGTAAAATATATTAAATAATAAATATAATTATATAATTATAATTAAAAAATAAATTTTGATTTAAAAAAATCATAACAAAATAATATTAATTGGTTTAATTTTTTTTTAAAAACAATCTCACATGGTTAAGAAAAATAGAAGAGCATCTCAAAAGTCTAAAGAGAAAATATGAGAACAAAACAATCTCACATGACTAAGAAACATAAAAGAGCATCACAACTAACTTCTATAAATAATAGATGTAATTTGACATTCAAAATCATAGAGCCTTTTGGTGAGCATTGAGTGAAATTTTAGGTTTCAATTAAGCTTCTAATTTTTTTTGAGTTCAAGCCTTTTTGAGTTCAAGTTTCAGTATTATATTTCGAGTTTGAGTTGAACTTGATAATTTTTAGCTCGTGAGTTTGAGTCGAGTTGAGCTTACTTTTAAAGTTTTCAAGTTCGAGTCGAGCTCAGCAATACTCGAATTCGACTTGGCTCGTTTAACAAACGACGTTGTTTTGTTTAATTTTATAAAAAAAAAACAAATTAACGGTTTTTTTTAATTTTTAGCCGGCCCAGTTTGAACGGTTCAACGATTCTGACCGATTCACTAATAACGATTGAACCAGACTAAATAACGATTCATAATTGAATCAATTGAACCGGCCGATTCATCCGATTTTTAAAACACTGCTTGTAGGTTAAGTAAACAAAAGGGCATAAAGATGTGAGGATCAAAGCGGTTCTTAAAAAAGAGCCGTCGGTTTCCGAGGATATTAAAGTTACCGTTAACGATAAAGTGGGGTGACAAATATTTTACCGGGAAGTGGGAACTCACCGTCTTTAAGCTCGGTTGGCGACTTTTGTCCGATATCTGGAACTGAACAAAGACTACCGCTGTCGGCGACCGCCTATGTTTTTATATGATCAACGGTGACGTGTAGGATCTGTGAACAAATTTTGTTCAATATCACTTGTCAAACCTGACGATCAAGAACTTCGAAGCCAGGGTATTTTCAACAAACTCATCCATATCTTTATTAGTTTTAAGAGTAAACTACACTAACTGTCACTAATATTTGACTAAGTTTTTGTTTTCTCTATTAAAGTTTCAAAAATAATAAACCGGTCACTTATTATTCCGTTAAATTGATGATGTGATAACGTTAAAAAAATTATTATTTTATTTCCCCTAAAATAATGATAAAATATCAAATAGGTCCTTAAACAATATTTTTTTATCTAATTTACCCCAAAATAATTTCTAATTTATATTTTTTTAAACACCACTTACCTTCACTATATATTCAAACCATGTTCCTTACAAAAAAAAGATCACGCTTAAACAATTAAGAGCATTTTCCTAAGTATTTGTTTCAACCACACTTAAATAAAACCTAAAAGTCTAAAATTATCTTCAGCTCTAATACTAATCTTCAAAAATGAATATGTTTATTCCTATCTTACAGCGTTTCATTGGAGTAAATTACTTACCATTGTACTCTATTCTATCTTTAGCATTTGATTTTTGGTTTGTGGGTTACTAATTGTCTAAAATATATAATGAACATGAAAAAAATAACATAATGGTTTAGGGTTTTGTTTAAATATAGATGCTTATTGTCTAAATATAGATGTTTTTGTTTAAGTGTGGTTGAAACAAAAACCAAGGAAACTACTCCTAATTGTTTAAGTGTGTTTTTCATTTATAAGGAACGTGGTTTGAATATAATGGAGGTAGTGGGGTGTTTAAAAAAATGAAAATTAGAAACTTTTATTAATTAGATAATTATTTTAAAAATAAAAACATAATATTAATGATATTTTAAAATGATTGATAATCATTTTAAAAACATTCATCAAAACAAATACTCAGTAATAATCAGATGACCCATATATGATGTTGTTTACTCCCTAATGTTAATATAAATTGTTAAAATGTTTCATGAAATTTAAACTGTTGATTATTTTTTTTATTAATTTAAGATAAATATAAGATAGTGTATGTTTAAATATAACTATAAATCATTTAATATTAAGCGTTCATACCCTTGGTATGCACGGTTCTCGAACTTGAGACCTCAAAAAATAACAAAATTGAAAGTTAAAGTTAAAAAAAGTTATATGAATTTTTAAATTCTAATATATTATTTCAGTGAAACTATACATTTAAAAAGTAGATACATTATTCATAATTCAGAAAAATATTTAATCAAAAAATAATAATTCAGAAAAAAATACAATCATTAACTATTCATATAACTCTAATGTTATCATTTATTTGTCTAAATTAGGAGAGATAAATCACTTACTATTCATATAACTCTAATGTAATCGTTAACATAAATGCGCATATATTTAATTTCTTTGATATAATATGCGCATATATTAAATTAATTTAATTAAATATGAAATTAATATAACATAAAATAAATCATCCAATTGTTTCAATAATTTCTTATGATTATTTAATTTTATTTTATAAATAAAACTTTCAAGAATGAAGAAACTATTTATTCTATTATTTTAATTTGATTAAAAAGAAATTTGTTTTGCTTAAATATTTGACGGTAAAATTGGATCAATTTATTTGATTTTCATAGTATAATTAATTTACTCTATTCTTATATATAAAAATCAAAGTGGTGAAATGCACCTTATTTTCTTTGAAAAATAATCTTTAGACCAAATTTTAAAATTTATTATTATTGCAGTTCAACCTGATTGATATTATCGTTAGTACAATATAGAAGAGGATACAAGACCACTAGCAGAATTCTGTCCTGTTTTCATCATCCTAGTTTGTCCCTGATCTTATGGAGAAGAGGAGAATTGAAATAAGACTATCAATCTCAACTGAAAACAAGACAAGCTGATATTGTGATATAAAAACAAGGGTAAACTATGTATTTAGTATATAAATTATTAGTCCTGGTCCGTTTTAGTATCTAAATTTTTTTAAAATCATACCTGATATTTAGTTTTTTTTTATTTTAATACTCTACTGTTAAAAAATTAACATATTTAATACTTAAACTATCAATTTTGGTCCGTTTGAGTATCTAAACTTTTAATTTTTTTTTAAATTCCGAACGAGATACTGTTGAAAACATTTTGATGTTTCGATATAACAAATTAAATGTTATTAGATTTCAAGATTTTATAATCATTTTTTAATATTATTCGATTAAACTATTCGAATATCAAAATATTACTCCAAGTTTTTCAAATGTCAATTTCAATCCTTACTCAAGTTTAAAAGAATGTTTTAATCTTTTAAACAAATTTACAAAGTATTTCGAGCCTTAATCGAGCCAAAAATCTTTTCTTAATAAATCTCAAAACAAAGAAGACATATTACTCAGAGGGTATCGATTCTCCCTAGGAGGGAACCGATACCCCCTGAATGGTTTTGGCTCCGAGAAATAACAGATTACTCGGAGGGAACCGATTCCCCCCCAGGAGGTACCGATTCCCCCATCTCACAACGGTCGAAATATTTGAATTTTACACTACATGAACCGATTCCCTATGAGGGGGTACCGATTCCCCCCACACTTCAAGCTGTTTTATTAATTATTTTCACACAATAACGGCTCTATTGACTCCACTAATGATCCCCAACGTTCAGGAATCAATTGAAGGAGTATTTAAACAAGCTTAGAACCCATTGATCAATAACAATTATCAAGAATCAAGAGAGAATCAAAGAGAAAACATCAAACCTCAAGTTTGTGCATTTTCAAGCATATTTCATTCAATATTCATCTTTGCTTTCAAGAACACTTATTGTACTCAATTTTATTATTCTTGAGTGTTCTTTCTTTGTTCTAGAATTGTGCAAACATCTTTCCTTGTGAGGATTTTCTTGTAAGTTTGCAAAATTTGTATTGTTCTCTTTGGGAGAGAGTGTTCTCAAGAATTTGAGGTATAATTCTTGAGGGATTTGTAAAGTTACTCTTTGTCCTCAAAAGAAAGACAAATTAGTGAATTTGTGGAAAATATTTAGTGTGGATAGCTAAGGTAATGGACGTAGACTTTGGTTGAGAAAGTCGAACCACTCTAAATCACTGTGCAAATATTTTTCAATTTTTTACAAAAGCTTCCACCAAAATTTTAATTACCAATTCACCCCCTCTTGGCTATATTCGTCGATTGATTAACTCAACAATTGGTATCAGAGCCTCACTCATTTGAAGGTTTAATCGCCTCTTGAGTCGATTCATGAAGAGTTACATCGATATTCAAGTCATCAATGGCCGACGCTTCAAACTCTGACTTTGTTCTCGATTCAATGCCCGTCAACAAGCCTCATTTCTTCAATGGAGCTAACTATGCTTATTGGAAGAATAAAATGATGTAATTTATTCAAGAAAGTGACATGGGAGCATGAAATGTCATAGAAGATGGATACATCAAACCCTCCACTCACCCGAGATTGTAGAGTGAAGGAGAGACAAGAATGTTCCTGCTCAACTCCAAAGCCATCTATATCATTTTTGTGCTCTTGGACCGGATGAATATGGAAGATTTTCATCTTGTACAACCACCAAAGAAATATGGGATAAACTACAAGTTACTCATGAAGGCATCGACGAGGTAAAAAAATCTAAAATTAGTCTTCTAACTCATAGCTATGAAAATTTCAAGATGAAATCGGATGAAGATATCAAAGCTATGACGGATAGATTTTCCACAATTGTCAATGGTCTCAAATCATATGGAGAGATCATTCCAAATGAAAAGCTTGTGAGGAAGTTGGTTTACTC